CAGGGACAGACACAGAATTGTTACTGAGGGACACAGAATTGTTACTGAGGGACACACAGAATTGTTACTGAGGGACACAGAATTGTTACTCAGGGACAGACACAGAATTGTTACTCAGGGACAGACACAGAATTGTTACTGAGGGACACAGAATTGTTACTGAGGGACACAGAATTGTTACTCAGGGACAGACACAGAATTGTTACTCAGGGACAGACACAGAATTGTTACTGAGAGACACAGAATTGTTACTGAGGGACACAGAATTGTTACTGAGGGACACAGAATTGTTACTCAGGGACAGACACAGAATTGTTACTCAGGGACAGACACAGAATTGTTACTCAGGGACAGACACAGAATTGTTACTGAGGGACACAGAATTGTTACTGAGGGACACAGAATTGTTACTCAGGGACAGACACAGAAATGTTACTGAGGGACACAGAGTTGTTACTGAGGGACACAGAATTGTTACTCAGGGACAGACACAGAATTGTTACTGAGGGACACAGAATTGTTACTCAGGGACACAGAATTGTTACTCAGGGACAGACACAGAATTGTTACTCAGGGACAGACACAGAATTGTTACTGAGGGACACAGAATTGTTACTGAGGGACACAGAATTGTTACTCAGGGACAGACACAGAAATGTTACTGAGGGACACAGAATTGTTACTGAGGGACACAGAATTGTTACTCAGGGACAGACACAGAATTGTTACTGAGGGACACAGAATTGTTACTCAGGGGGACACAGAATTGTTACTCAGGGACAGACACAGAATTGTTACTCAGGGACAGACACAGAATTGTTACTGAGGGACACAGAATTGTTACTGAGGGACACAGAATTGTTACTCAGGGACAGACACAGAATTGTTACTGAGGGACACAGAATTGTTACTGAGGGACACAGAATTGTTACTGAGGGACACAGAATTGTTACTCAGGGACAGACACAGAATTGTTACTGAGGGACACAGAATTGTTACTGAGGGACACAGAATTGTTACTCAGGGACACAGAATTGTTACTCAGGGACACAGACACAGAATTGTTACTGAGGGACACAGAATTGTTACTCAGGGACAGACACAGAATTGTTACTGAGGGACACAGAATTGTTACTCAGGGACACAGAATTGTTACTGAGGGACACAGAATTGTTACTCAGGGACACAGAATTGTTACTCAGGGACAGACACAGAATTGTTACTGAGGGACACAGAATTGTTACTGAGGGACACAGAATTGTTACTCAGGGACAGACACAGAATTGTTACTGAGGGACACAGAATTGAATTGTTACTGAGGGACACAGAATTGTTACTCAGGGACAGACAGAATTGTTCTGAGGGACACAGGACAGAGACAGAATTGTTACTGAGGGACACACAGAATTGTTACTGAGGGACACAGAATTGTTACTGAGGGACACAGAATTGTTACTCAGGGACACAGAATTGTTACTCAGGGACAGACACAGAATTGTTACTCAGGGACACAGAATTGTTACTCAGGGACACAGAATCGTTGAATTAAAGAGTATGTCAGACAACATGCAGAGGAGTGGGCAGAGGAGGCAATGTTTTAGGAGTGAGCAGACGTGGCAGCAGAGGAAGGGGTCGAGGCAGCACTATTCGCAGCCAGAGGCCAGTGCTCCCGGTGTCATCCAGCGGTCGTGTCTCCACCGACAACCCTGCCGTCATCGATTGGTTGGCTCGGTCGTCTTCCTCTTCCCAGGTCACCTCTGACACCTACAGCCAACGGTCGGTGGGTACGTCAGACACAACCGTTAGTTGGCATGGCCCGGGAGCAAGCCCACTGAAATCACGTGTCCTCTACCTGCCCCTGTCCTTTGGTGTTCCCTCACCAAGCGAAGTATCGCATGCTGTGGGCTCAACCCCACTGTACAGTGAGGAAGAGCTAACAGAGGGGTCAGGAACGGGGGGAGACATCCGCCTCTTCAGCAGCCAGGCGAAGAAGTAGTGGCGAGGAGAGTGGCTCGGTAGCCGGTCTAGAGACAGGTCTGTCTCCTGACCCACACGCAGCCGAGGGGGCTAGTAGTGAGGCGGAGACCCTAATTGATGATGATGAGGCTGATCGCACTTGGCAGCCTCGTCGTCATCAGGCTATTGCTTCCGCATCATCAGGAGAAGAGGGTGGCAGCTTGGCAGCAAGCAAAACAGTCGGTGGGTTGCCCAGGAGGCAGCAGGGTCGCAGCAGTGTCAGTGGAGGCAAACGGCCACGGAGTAGAGCACCAGCTCCACTGCAGCCTACCACCACGGCCAGTAGTGGTGCCGGTGTGCATGGAGGAAGTAGCAGTCAGCCAGTGAGGAGTATCGGGGGCAAAGTTTCCTACTCGGCGGTGTGGCAATTTTTCGTCAAGCCACCCGAGGAAGTAAACGTAGCCGTATGTCGACTATGTGGCCAGAAAGTCAAGCGTGGCCAGGGGGCCCATGTTGGGACTACAGCGTTGCGTCAGCATATGCAGCGTCGCCATTTGGTGGCCTGGGAAAACTGTGATAAAGATACGGCGGTTCTCCCTGCCCCAGCCCCCGCTCCATCACCCGCTCCGTTACTTGCTCCGTCACCCGACGTCAATCGCCCTCTATCAGCCAGTCAAGGCTCCAACACCTCTGCTGAGGGGAGTTGTCGCTCGTTGGCATCTTCCGCTCGTTCAGATGCTCCTTCTCCTGCTACTCCTCTTCACGGATTCCGTCAGCAGTCTTTCTTGGAATCCGTTTCCAAGAGACAACAGTTTGCGAGCACGCACCCGACGGTGCAAAAGCTGAACGTCCTCCTGTCCAAGTTGCTGGTGCTGCAGTCCCTCCCTTTCCAAGTGGTGGACTCAGCACCTTTCCGAGAAATGATGGCTTGTGCCGCGCCGCGGTGGAGAGTGCCAAGCCGTCATTTCTTCGCCAAAAAGGCAGTGCCAGCCCTGCATTCACATGTAGAAGAGATGGTGGGCCAGTCTTTGAGCATGTCGGTCTCTGCCAAAGTGCACGGCAGCGCCGATGTGTGGAGCTGTAACTACGGTCAGGGACAGTACATGTCATTTACGGCCCACTGGGTGAACGTGGTGCCGGCACAGCCGCACCAGCAACTTGGACAGGTCACGCCGCTTTTGCCTCCACGTTTGCACGTCCTTGGTCCACAAAAGATGTCCGCCTCTACCACCTCTTCTTCCGCCGTGTCCTCAGCCGCCACCCCCGTGCCAAGTCCCATTACCCCGACCGGCATATCACATGTGCAGGGCGCAACGGTGTCACGCTGTGCTGCACCTGGTATGCCTTGGCGAACGTAGTCACAGAGGGGAGGAACTTCTGAGTGTAATGAACAGAGAAATCGACAGATGACTGTCTCCGCGCAAACTGAAAATCGGAACCATGTTGACCGACAACGGAAAGAACATGGTGTCTGCTCTGCGTCAAGGAAGGTTGTGCCATGCGCCATGCATGGCTCACGTGTTCAATCTGGTTGTCAAGCGGTTCCTAAAATCCACCATCCCACTGCAAGACATCCTTAAAATGTCACGTAAACTTTGCATGCATTTCAGCCATTCCTACACCGCAAAGCACACCCTCCTTGAGCTGCAGCGGCAGAACGGAATTCCACAGCATCGCCTGATCTGCGACGTTGCAACAAGGTGGAATTCAACCCTACACATGTTAGACCGCCTTTACGAACAGCGAAAGGCCATCACCGATTTCCTGATGTTACAAGCGGATAAAGGTACTCCCCTGTGTAACTTAGATGTCAGCCATTGGCAGCTCATGCGTGACACCTGCCGCTTGCTCAGGCCCTTTGAGGAGGCCACGCTATTCGTGAGTCGGCAGGACTATGGGATGAACGACGTCATTCCTCTGTTGCACGTCCTGGAGCAAATGCTGTTAACAATGGCTGGTCAGGGTGCGGTAGACGTGGCGCACAGATCTCAACGCCACATGACCCCTGTGGGGGCAGGACAGGAAGAAGAGGAGGAGGTAGAGGAGGACATTGGTGTTCAGGAATTATTGAGTGAAATGGGTGGGTTTTTCCACTCAGCGGACAGGAGTGGAGGAGCAGGAGCATCTGGTAGAGGAGGAGGAGGAGGAGACAGAGGACCCAGACGCACCGTGGCAGTATGCTATGGAGATGGATGACAGGGAGTCCCTCGCATTCCTTGGCACAAATGGCCCATAGCATGCTCGGATGCTTGCGTAGCGACAGCCGAATAATAACCATCAGACAGAGGGATGACTTTTGGCTGTCCACCTTGTTGGACCCTCGCTACCGTTCAAAAATGGTGGCCTTTTTCACACCTGCTGAGAGGGAGGCCAAAATAACGTACTATAAAAACTACCTATGTAGTCAGTTGGTCTCTGCCTTTCTGCGCCAACGTCCATCCTCAGACACTGTGGGCCCTGTGCGCTCGCGTTCCGCTGCCATGGCAGCAGGGGAGGGGTGGGGTGGTAGGAGCAGTGGCAGCTCCACCAGCAGCGGCTGCCTCAGTCTGCAGTCGATGATGAGTAGCTTTCTTCACCAGCGCAGTGAGGAAACTACTAACCAGCCGCAGCAGCAGCAGCATCAGGTGGACCTGGAGCAGGACCTCAAACAACAGGCTTGGGCCTACTTGGACAGCACCCTGCCAACCGAGGTAGACAATCCCCTTGACTACCGGGCAACGAAACTTGACCTTTGGCCCCAACTAGCTGAATTTGCCCTTGAAAGGCTGTCATGCCCGGCCAGTAGCGTGGCATCGGAGTGCGTGTTTAGTGCGGCAGGAGGTATTGTAACTCCGCGGAGGACACGACTGTCCACCCAAAGTGTGGAGAGACTCACGTTTGTGAAAATGAATCAGGCGTGGATTAGTCTGGATTTCAAACCACCAGTTCCTGACACAACTGACTAAATCCGCCATGAATCATGCCCCAAACATGTGCCACTTTCAGGTCTCCTCACACTGCTGGGTGTGTTCCATTTTTTGTCATAGGGTGCTGGCAGATTACGGGCCTCCCATTGCTGCTGCCAGGCCCGTAATCTGCCATGGGCCCCCGTACCCGCCTCCTCATGCTGCTGCCAGGTCCAGAGTGTGTCATGGGTCCCTGTACGGCCTCCCATTGCTGCTGTCTCCATCGCCACACTCTGCCATGTGCCACTTTCAGGTCTCCTCACACTGCTGGTGTGTTCCATTTTGTCATAGGGTGCTGGCAGATTACGGGTGCTGCTGCCAGGCCCGTAATCTGCCATGGGCCCCTGTACCGCCTCCCATTGCTGCTGCCAGGTCCAGAGTGTGTCATGGGTCCCTGTACGGCCTCCCATTGCTGCTGTCTCCATCGCCACACTCTGCCATGTGCCACTTTCAGGTCTCCTCACACTGCTGGTGGGTTCCATTTTTGTCATAGGGTGCTGTATGGCCTCCCATTGCTGCTGCCTCCACCGCCACACTGTGGCTCCACACTCTGGTTTTGGCCCCGTGACTGCCCAAATGAGTGAAGTGTGCGGTGATTTTAAGATCGACGGCACTCATCTGCATGTCATACTGACTGACAGTATTATTTCTCTTCCCCAGCAGACTCCAAGGGCATTTAAATTAAAGGTACAGTGTTCTGCACTAATATGAAGGCTCTCTGAAGCCTAGAAACACCCTTTTATAAGTTAAATTCGCAGCGAATATATTCCCATCGAATCGAATTTATTCCTCGAATTCGCCGAATCAGCCGAATCGAATTTTTGAATACTTCGCTCATCTCTATTCAATATCATTCAACCAGATTAGGGTTAGGGGTTTAGGATTAGGGGTTAGGGGTTAGGGCGTCATTCAATTTACTGTCAATGAGTCCAGGCCATCAAGATCACACCCCCCTGGAGGTTCATCAACAGACCACCCTGGGCTTACAGGAACATGATGCAGGCAACTGAATTATCTCATTGCGTGATGTCAAAGAGGAAAAAGAACGATGGCATCACTTGCACAGATTAAAAACCTGGATAAAAGGTAAGTATACAATTAAAAAGAGGTCACTTTATGAGAGGGATAGAGGCAGAAAGGGGTTGGGGGGGGAAAGCAACTTAAATTTGCTTTAAAATAAAAAATAAGCATTGTACATATAAGTATACCCAACATTGTGTCCTTTATTGGTTGGGGAACCAAAAGGTAGTGCACATACCTACTCCTTGTTTCCCAGTAATTGCTGGAAGTCTGATTTTTCTATTAAGCAGAGTGTCCAAAATGGTCTAATTCAGCCTATACAAAAAAAAAAAACTCCCTTAATATATTTAATTTGACATATTTTATATAGGTAAAATGTTCTACTTATCAGAACATGTAATACAGATGAATAATCTAGAGCTGCTATATACAGAGAATGTATAATATAACAATATATGTATGCTCCAGTGCTATATGGTATATTAAAAACTATTAACATGTAATATGAATAGGATACAGAAATTGCCAGGTTAATTATCATCCTCTAAGATTTCACAGCTAAAAAGCTTTTTATGATGATCCTCTGGGATTTATTCCGGGATAAATGGGCTTTATTGTGGGTTTTAATAATGGATGTCACTTGGAAGCTTGCTTCCAATCTTTCTTTAAAAGGGTCTCTTATATGGGAAGCACTCCTTTCACTGCCAAAACTTTCTTCTAGCCATAGAGGAAGGGAAGAAGAGGAGGAGAGCAGTGCAGCACAACTGCAAAGATACTAACAGATAATAATACAGAGGCAACATTTACAGCTGCATTTCTCAACTTTTTCTTCAGTTGTGGCACCTTTAAAAGGTATGCAAAATCTTGATGCACCCAGTCTAAAATATAAAAAAATGTAAATGTTATTTATCAGGGATGTAAGTACAGGGGTCACATGGGTCACCATTGTGACCTGGCCCCATGCTCCAAGGGGCCTATGCGACCCCCTGTACACCTAGCTAGGAGGGACTGTGGGGTGGCAGCATGTAGGGGAACCGATCTCTCCATGCAGCTGATGAATGCCAGCTTCTCCCCCTCACCCCCCACTGTGCTGCCAGGTTTCCTCCTCCCAGGGGACACTGTCCAGATGGAAAGTGGGAAAGGGGAAGGTAAATGTGTAATTTCCGGGCCCCTTCCTTGTCTTTATGAATAGAGTCAGTGATTGTTTTTGTTTATTATTCATTCATAGCTGATGCATAGTAAACTGTGTTTACTACACTTCAGTTTATGAATGAACAAGAAGCTCTGTACAGATCTATTCCTGTTCATTCATTCTGTGCAGCTGAGGCTGCAGAGAAAGGGACTGATGAATCTGTCCTCAGTCACTTTCTTAGTCTCAACAGTAAGACATCAGGGGTTTGGTTGGACCCTGATATCTCACCAAAGCCCCCCAATGGGGGTCCTAAAATTATGTAAAAAATAATAAAAAATAAAAAAAAATGGTAAAAAAAGTAAAAAAAAATAAAACAACGAATAAAACAACAGGGGTAAAGAGCCCCTGGATCAGTGGGAAGGGCCCCAGTCAGGGATCAGGGGGACCCGTCATGGTTTCTGAAGGCTTTAGTTACACCTCTGTTGCCTATCAGTGGGAAACTTGAACCTGGAAAATACACACAACCAGCTTGATGAAAATAACTTACATCTGAAGCTCTCCATCACATCAGAGGTCCCACATCACGCCAGAGGTCCTCCAATCACATCAGAGGTCTCCACCATCACATCAAATATCCTCCCATCACAACAGAGATCCTACCCATCACATCAGAGGTCCCCATCTTATCAGAGGTCCTCCAATCAAATCAGAGGTCTCTCCCCATCACATCAGAGGTCCCCCCATCACATCAGAGGTTCACCCAGCACATCAGAGCCCACCTCACACCACAGGTTCTTCCATCATTTCAGAGGTCCCCCCATAACATGCGAGCCCCCCTTTCACATCAATGTCACCCAAACACACAGAACCCTACCTTTTGGCTTCAGCAGCAAGGCAGAGGGCGAGAAGTAGAGGAGGTATCCTCTACAGAATGTTGAAGGTGGTCTTGCATGCCGCAGATTATAACTCTTGCTTTGTTATGGTGCTGGTGACAAGCCCAACCACACCATGGCAACTCATGACACTGATCCAAGACAAACTGGGTAGTGTGTTAGCGGCACCCTGGGGGAAACCACATGGCACCCTGGGGGAACCCAGATGGCACCCCAGGGTGCAGTGGTAGGTTTATCCTGATCAGTTTTGCTGGTCAAGCTGGCTGCATTAGAGGCGATGACTTACCTGAACTGGGATCCACCACTAAATGTTACCAAAGATGGCCACCACCCACCTACGCATGGGCCATGCGCAATGATATCACAGCGCATGGATGCATGAAGCTGGTCAGGCTAAATCTACCATCCTGGCTTCCTTGCTCTCATGGGGTGCTAATCCACTTCAGAGACTTTGAACCTTGGATTGATAAGTATAGACCTTGCTGATACATGGATGCATGAACAAGTAATTAATGCAATTGTAACTTCTCACTTGGCTGGGTTCATGGCTGGAGTTCACTTACTTCTATAAATGTTGAACCATCCTTTATTGCACATGCAGTCCGTGTGTAGGGGAGAAATTCCTGGACCGCAGGACAAGGGCCAAATGAAAGAAGTATATGTCCATTATAAGTGGAACTTGGTGTCCAATGTTGTCATAGTTTTAGCAGGATGTGACCTGTTTTGAGCATATACAGCAAGGATTTTTGCACTTATGCGCAGACTTTACAGTTTATTTATTCAGTATTACTCAGGGAACAGAAGCAACTGACCAGAAACCTTGTCAATCTGATGAACATGCTCCCTAAGGATAATCAATTAGGCTTGACTTTTATATTATTTAAAAGATCAGTCCATCCAAAACTTATATTTGGTAGATGCTGGAATTTGAAATCACCTGACATACCTTTAATAGACTCTATTGGTAGGATCTGTGCTAATTACCAGGTCTACACACTCTCCCTGATGAGTTATATAGTATAGAGAAATTAACAGGAGGAGGAGCTGGAACATAGAAGGAAATTATAGCAGGTAGGTCTGGCGGATGGAGTATCCAAGATCCATAAGAAGCCAAAGGCTGACTCAGTCCACAAAGGTCCACCTTTACCTACATATCACTTTTGGGTAAATTGACACTTTATGATGGGCATAAATTAGCGATTCCTTCCAAGTCCTTTCAAAACTGTTTGCATTCAGTGATGATAATTTGATATCTATGGGTACCACACATATTGTGGTTTGAGTAATCCTGTGTAATCCTTCTAAACTGGTAGGATCAGTTGATGATTGCTGGATCTACATGCAAGTTTTGATCTTAGGAAACAACCTTTGCTAATTAGGTTCTGGATGGGTTGTGGGACTTAAAAGTCTGCTGCCCCTGTTGAATTTTCCTGGCCATCAGCTGTTGTTGCATTGAGAAGAATGGCATCAATGAGGTCTGCTAATATATAGGCCAGCCTTTTTCAACCTTTGTAACCTTTAAAATAATGTTCAGATCCTGGGGGAACCAATTAATTAGTGGACAGTGGGAAAAATGTCCTATACATTGGTAATCAGTGGGAAGAATGCTCCATACAATGGTGTTCAGTGGAAAAAATGACTTTACATTGGTGGTTAGTGGGAAGATTGCTCCTTACATTGGTGATCATTTGGAGGAATTCTCCATACATTGGTGGTCAGTGGGAAGAATGCTTTATACTGTACATTGGTGGTCAATGGGAAGAGTGCTTCTTACATTGGTGATCAGTGGAAAAAATGCTCTATACATTGCTGATCAATGGGAAGAATGTCCCTTACATTGGTCATCTGTGGGAAGAATGTTCCTTATATTGGTGGCCAATGGGAAGAATGTTCCCTACATTGGTGATTAATGGGAAGAATGCTCCTTAAATTGGTAGACACTAGGAAGAATGTCCCTTAATTGGTGGTCATTGAGAAGAATGCTCCTTACGTAGGTGCTCGATGGAAAAAATTCCCCTTACATTGGTGGTCAGTGGGAAGAATGTCCCTTACATTGGTGGTCAGTGGGAAGAATTTTCCTTATATTCGTGACCAATGGGAAGAATGTTCCTTACCTTGGTGGTCAGTGGGAAGAATGCTCATTGCATTGGTGATTTTTTTTTTTTTTTTTTAATTTAAATATTTATTAATTTTTCATATTATTACAAAAATCCATAAGAAGAGACACAATACATATAAATATCCATACATTTCTACTCTGTCCCTTCTATTTACCTCTTTTCTATTCCCTTCCCTCCCTCCCCACCATTTCCCCTCTTCTCCCCCCCCCTACCCTCTGCAAGATCTCAAACCTCTCTAGGCCCAGTAACTTCGGATAACTTCCTAACTTAGAGTTTTCTATATTTCTCTTTCATTTCCGATTTTTTCCCATTTTTCCCATCGTGAATAGTATATTTTCATCCTATCTTCCTGAATATGATAAGATTTTTCCATTCTGCTAATCTGGTTTACCCTATTGATCCAATCCTCCTCCGTTGGTATCTCAACCTTCCGCCAATACTTGGGGATCAACCCTTTTGCAGCACTTAAATAGTGCCATATACCTGATTCCTTATATTTATTCACTGTTGTTTCAACACTATGTAGGAGACAAATGGTTGGGTCTAGTCCTATGTCATTTCCAGTTATTTTTTCTATTAATTTGACTATTGTCTTCCAGTAAACCTGAATTTTTGGACATTGCCACCATATGTGAAACATCGTGCCCTCTTCCCCACATCCTCTCCAACACATGTTTGAATTCTCCCCCCTCATCCTGTGCTCAGTGCTCGGTGTAATATGCCAACGTGTCAAACATTTATAGTTAATCTCAACATCTCTCATACTAACATTCTCGTGAACCAATCTAAATATCTTATTCTGTTGATCTTCATCTATCACCACCTCCATATCTCTTTCCCAATTTGTTATAAAAATTAACTTTGTGTCTGTGTCTAGTTCTGTGAGTATTCTATACATTTTTGTAACTCCGTGTTTCCCGTCTCTACGTGTTTCTAATAGCCTTTCAAACATGTTCCATTCCTTTTTTAATCTCAAGGGTTTTGGGAGAGTTCCTATAAAACATTTTAATTGATGATATTTCCACTCATCTATTTTACTAAACATATCTCCTACCATCTCTTTTAATTCTCTAAATGTTCTCAATTCCCCCTCTACCAATACATCTCTCAGTTGAATATCTTCCTTTTTAATCCATCTCCCTGATATCTCATCTTTTCCCGGAGGGAAGAATTCCGTGTTTGCAAGAGGCATTAATATAGAGTTAAATTCCCATTTCATGTGTTTATGTAAGTTGTCCCATATCCTTAAGACAGTTAAAGTGTAAGTGCTTGTGCCCTCTTTGGTTCTCCTATAGTGGGCTGGAACCCATATCATCTTGCTCAGATTAATTCCACTCATATCATTCTCTATTTTTACCCAACTTTTCCCCTTATGATTAAAAGTCCAATCATAAATTCTTGCTAACATTACTGCTTTATAATATCTCTTGACATCAGGTAGTCCCATCCCCCCTTTCTCTTTAGTCCTACTTAGTGTTTCATATGATACTCTTGGTTTTTTATTCCTCCAAATATATCTTGTTAACATTTTTCTCATTATCTTAAAAAACACCTCTGGGAGTTTGATCGGGATCATTTGAAATCTATAGAGTATTTTAGGTATAATTACCATTTTAATTAGGTTCATACGTCCTAACCATGATGGATTTCCTCCTTCTAATCTTTTTAGTTCGTCCTTAATCTCATTTATCAGAGAAATATAGTTTAATCTATACAGTTGTTTATATGAGGTAGCGAGTTTTATGCCTAGGTATTTTATATCTTTTTTCTCTCCAAATAAAGGGGAATTCTTTTTGTAGCCTTTCTTTTTCGCTCTTTGGTATATTAATATTCAAAATCTCAGTTTTTGTTGGATTAATTTTTAGATTAGATAATTCCCCATATTCCTTCAGAATCTCATTATATTTGGTAATGTTATTCGGGGGTTGCCTACATAAAACAGTAGGTCGTCCGCAAAAGGCCGCTACTTTATGTTCTATATTTTCTATCTGGATTCCCTTTACCGCTCCACTATTCCTTATTATTGACAGCAGGGGTTCCAATGTCAATACATACAGCAAGGGGGACAATGGACATCCCTGTCTTGTTCCATTGGACATCCCAATGGATTCCGACCTCTCCCCATTTACCGTAATGATTGCGGTGGCTGCTTATATAGTTTACCTATCCATTCTCGCATTCTCTCTCCAATCCCCAACCCTTCCAAGTTGTCTATCATAAAGCCCCAGTCCACTCTATCAAACGCCTTTTCGGCATCGATCGCCAAGAGCACCACCGGGGCTTTCCCTTTTCTACTTTTCTGGATAAGCATCAGAGTTCTCAAACCATTGTCTCTACCCTCTCTCCCCTGGACAAAGCCCACCTGGTCTCCATGGATCCAATCGGGCATTAGATCTTTCAGCCTGTTTGCTAGGACCTTTGCGTACAACTTAGTATCTGTGTTTAATAGGGAAATGGGTCTGTAGCTAGAGCACTGAGAGGGATCTTTTCCCTCCTTGTGGATGAGAACTACATGGGCCTGAAGGGATTCCCTCCTCACCTCCATCCCGTCTCCCAAGTCATTCATATATTTCTTTAACTTTGGTAACAGTACTTCACTAAATTTTTTATAATACTTAACGGTATAACCATCCGGGCCTGGGCTTTTCCCTCCCCCTGTACTTCTCAATGCCACTTCTATTTCTTCCTGAGAGATTTCTACCTCCAGGGAGTTCAGTTGTGTTTCACTAAGCTTTGGCAATCCCGCATTTCTTAAATATATCCTCCTTTTTTTTTTTCATTAATACCTTCTCTAATTTCTTTTGATGTTCCTTGGGGGCTGATGTTATACAACTTTCTATAATACTCCGTGAATACTTTTATGATTTCTTTAGTTGAGTGGGCTATCTCCCCCTTAGGGCTTTTTATCTTTTCTATATAGTTTCTGTTTTTTTTCTTATTCAGGGCTCTCATTAAGTATTTTCCTGGTCTATCACCCCATCTATATCTTTCACTTAATACTTTATTATATACTCTTCTCCTCTCCTCATCCATCAATCTCTCTAATTCATCTTTTTTATCCCTTAACTTCTGTCTTGTTTCTATTGTTATTTTTTTTCTTATGTATCCACTCCAATTCCAGGATTTCCTTTAAGAGTCCACTAACCCCTCTCTCTTCTTTCCTTTTTTTTCCTTGCTCCCATCGCAATCAGGATTCCTCTTATATATACCTTATGACTTTCCCATACTGTAGCTGTCGATACTTCCTGCGTTTCATTCTCCTGGAAGTATACCTTAATCTCTTCACTGATCCTCTGCACAATATCCTCATCAAAGAGTAAAGCCTCATTTAACCTCCAACCTAAACCTCCCGTCCACCTTTTTCCCCATCCCATTTTCATCACAACTGGGGCATGGTCCGAAAAAGTTCTTGTCTCTATTTCTATTTTAACCAGCATTTCAATGAGTTGATGATCTATTAAGATGTAATCCAGTCTCGAATACATCTCGTGTGCATTAGAGAAGAAGGTATAGTCTCTGTCCTTCATATGCATTATTCTCCAGGTGTCCACCAGTTGGTATTCGTGGATCACCTTCCTCAAAGCTCTCAGGGACCTACCCCCTTCTCTCTGCACCAGGGAGGTTACATCCATCTGTGGGTCCATACAGAGGTTTAAATCTCCTGCTATTATCAAACGCCCTTTTTTTAAAATCTATCAAATTTTTTTTAACAGACCCTTTAGAAAGATCTCAGGTTTCTTATTGGGGCAATATATATTGGCTAGTGTGCATTCAATTCCCTGTAGTTTACCTTTCAAAAACAGGAATCTCCCTTCCGGGTCAGTCCTTCTATCTTCCAGCTCAAACCTCATATTTTTTGCCAATCCTATTGCCACCCCCCTTTGCTCTTTTAGTTGGAGAGTCGGCATAATACCATGTAGGATAATATTTGGATTTTAGTTTCACATTAGAATCTATCTCAAAGTGTGTCTCCTGCAAAAATACCACTGACGTTGCCCTATGATGTAGCTCTTTAAACAACTTGAATCTTTTCCCAGGGCAATTTAACCCATTCACATTATATGTTATAAACTGTATTTCATCCATCCTTCTTAATTTTTATTATCTCTCTTCTAATTCGTCTCCTCCTATTAGGCCCAAATGACTTGCAGAATATTAGTCCCACCCCCCCCCCCCTTCCCCCCTCCTACCACCCCTCCCACCCCTCTCTTTTTTTTCCCCTTCCCATTTTTAGGCGTATAAGCTGCCTACAAATCATTTGTGGATCCATTTCCACCATTGATTAAAATTTAGGGCGTAAGCTCCACCTATGTACGGCTCACCTCATCTCCGAGCCACCCGATTCCCTCTCTCTATAGTCTAGACTTAGCAAGAGTCTTTACTCTTTACCTCCCACCCTTAACCGTATCCTCTAAGCGGTTCACGACCTCCTGAGGAGGAAGGCCAGTGGCGAGAGAGTGGAGAGAGAGAAAAAAAAAAAAAAAAAAAAAAAAAAAAAAAAAACTCAGTCTCTACTTAATTCTCCCTCCCCCCCTTCCCCCCACGTGCTGCCAGTCCTCTTTTCTTGCATTAGTTATATTTCCTTTGTCTTCTTTTTCTTCTTCCACCCAGCTATCTCCATTCTATGCAAGTCCAGTCTATCGCAAAAATCTCTTAAATCTTCCGGAAATCGCAAATACGCTGTAACCCCATTTTTCCAGCCAGTTAGAAATGCTGAGGAACCCCATCTATACTGCACATTCTGTTTTTCATCTGCTCCAACAGGGGGTTTCAGGGATCTCCTTCTCCTTAGGGTCTCTACTGTTAAGTCCGCATAAATTTGGATACTCAAGTCCCCGAACTTAATTAATGATCTTCCCTTGGTCTTCTTCCAGATCTCCTCTTTGACCCCAAATTTTTGGAACTGGACAATTATGTCCCTCGGTCTTTCCTT